ATGACCGTCTGCAAGAAGACTAGTCCACTATCGAAGAACCACCTAACTTTTGATAAAATATCATTTTTTCGAAAGATCAGACCTTGTTCTTGAACTTCCATTAATCTCTTTAATATGTATTTTCTCTGAGCGCTAGCGGACCGATCCAAAGTTACCGCCCCCCCCTCCAATTTTCCATATGTTGTACACGTATAGTTAGGAAAATGACCGTCTGCAAGAAGACTAGTCCGCTATCGAAGAACCATCTAACTTTTGATAAAATATCATTTTTTCGAAAGATCAGACCTTTTTCTTGAAATTCCATTAATCTCTTTAATATGTATTTTCTCTGAGCGCTAGCGGACCGATCCAAAGTTACCCCCACCCCCCTCCAATTGTCCATATGTTGTACACGTATAGTTAGGAAAATGACCGTCTGCAGGAAGACTAGTCCGCTATCGAAGAACCATCTAACTTTTGATAAAATGTCATTTTTTCGAAAGATCAGACCTTGTTCTTGAACTTCCATTAATCTCTTTAATATGTATTTTCTCTGAGCGCTAGCGGACCGATCCAAAGTTACCGCCCCCCCTCCAATTTTCCATATGTTGTACACGTATAGTTAGGAAAATGACTGTCTGCAGGAAGACTAGTTCGCTATCGAAGAACCATCTAACTTTTGATAAAATAGCATTTTTTCGAAAGATGAGACCTTAATCTTGAACTTCCATTAATCTCTTTAATACGTATTTTCTCTGAGCGCTAGCGGACCGATCCAAAGTTATCCCCCCCCTCCAATTTTCCATACGTTGTACACGCAGAGTTAGGAAAATGACCGTCTGCAAGAAGACTAGTCCACTATCGAAGAACCACCTAACTTTTGATAAAATGTCATTTTTTCGAAAGATGAGACCTTATTCTTGAACTTCCATTGATCTCTTAAATAGGTATTTTCTCTGAGCACTAGCGGACCGATCCAAAGTTACCCCCCCCCCCTCCGATTGTCCCATAGGTTGTACACGTAGAGTTAGGAAAATGACCGTCTGCAGGAAGACTAGTCCGCTATCGAAGAACCATCTAACTTTTGATAAAATATCATTTTTTCGAAAGATCAGACCTTGTTCTTGAACTTCCATTAATCTCTTTAATACGTATTTTCTCTGAGCGCTAGCGGACCGATCTAAAGTTACTCCCCCTTCCAATTTTCCATCATTATGTTGTACACGTAGAGTTAGGAAAATGACCGTCTGCAAGAAGACTAGTCCACTATCGAAGAACCACCTAACTTTTGATAAAATATCATTTTTTCGAAAGATCAGACCTTGTTCTTGAACTTCCATTAATCTCTTTAATACGTATTTTCTCTGAGCGCTAGCGGACCGATCCAAAGTTACCCCCCCCCCCTCCAATTGTTATATATGTATTACACATAGAGATTAATAGGAAAATTACTGTCTTTTTTAACCTTAACTTTTCTAGTTTAATATTAATAATAATATAATTCATTATTTTTGTTCGTTTTTGTTAAAATTCAGGTGAATAAATAATTTATTTAGTTACATTAATTCAATTTTAATCGTAGACCCTTATACTTTTCACATCCTTCAAATTGGTTTTCCGGCTGGAATCCGGCCAACTTCCATTCAATGACTAGTAAAGCGTACAGTGCGATTACGTAACAAGTACAAATATCACACGTCCGATAAAAATAATTTCAATTTCAAGTTGAGATGCAAATCCCTAGTGGCTGTGATTGGCGACCAATAACCCACTGATCTCTACGGCACCGTGACACTGATCTCTACGGAAAAATCTACGGATTTTTCGGAAAAGATCAGTGAACCGCGACCATCAAAGATTCGGGTGAAGTTATCCCGGAAAACGATAGAATTCGCGCTATGGTGTCTTAAAAATTAATAAATTTTGAACGAAATGAAAATGAAAAAATCAAGCCAAAAGAAGGAACATTAGAATTTCTATTTTAAATTGAAATAAATTATATAGGAGAAATAAATAGAGAATACAATCATGATTTTGGAACTAGGGGATTAACATGGACATAATGCACTTGCTTACATGACCACATTATCTCTTATTCATTCTACCTCCAATGTTTTCAGACTGTTTTCAAAACAATATCATGTTTGTCGATCATAGTTCTATGTAGCTTGATGTCTCATGGTAATTTAATCAATCTAAGCAACAATTTTTGAATTTTAGCGACAATCGTTCGCCATTGCTGCTCTTTAATACTATTATGACGTGCAGTAACAAATTGAAATTTCAGAACTCATGATAAATTTGTTAAACAGTTGATTCTACTTGGTTGATTCTAATGTTCGGATTATAGCAGAACGAGATAGAAATTGACATTCTCATGGGTAACGACTTTGCGTTCGTAGTTGTTCATCGTCTCTACAATGCTATTTGAACAATATTTGGTGACAAAAGAAAAAACAGTTGATTCTACTTGGTTGATAGAAATTGACATTCTCATGGCTAACGACTTTGCGTTCGTAGTTGTTCATCGTCTCTACAATGCTATTTGAACTATATTTGGTGACAAACACAACAGTTGATTCTACTTGGTTGATAGAAATTGACATTCTCATGGCTAACGACTTTGCGTTCGTAGTTGTTCATCGTCTCTACAATGCTATTTGAACAATATTTGGTGACAAAAGAAAAAAACAGTTGATTCTACTTGGTTGATAAAAATTGACATTCTCATGGCTAACGACTTTGCGTTCGTAGTTGTTCATCGTCTCTACAATGCTATTTGAACAATATTTGGTGACAAAAACAAAAAACAGTTGATTCTACTTGGTTGATAGCAGGGGCGGATCTAGCTTTTTGCTAAGGGGGGGGGGGGTTTGACCAAAATAATGACGATGCAGAGCATCGTCCACGAGCCGCGTAGCGGCGAGCCGATTTTTTGGGGGGTGTTTATTTGAACCCCGTAAGTGATGTTTTCCTGGCATCTATTAACACAATGGAGACCATAAAAAGCAGTGCATGATAACGTCTTTTAAAATCAAGTAACAGCTTAATACACAGTTATATCCAGCCTTTTTATCATGTGTTTGGTTAAGTTACCAGATGAGTTGAATATCTTCTCACAATATTTGCACTTGAAAGGGTTTCTCTCCAGCGTGCGTTCTTTTTTCTTTCTTTTTTTTCTTTCTTCTTTCTTTTTCTTTCTTTTTTTTTTTTTTTTTTGGCCGCCCAAGGGGGGGGGGGGGGGTTTGAACCCCCTAAACCCCCCCCCCCCGTAGATCCGCGCCTGGATAGAAATTGACATTCTCATGGCTAACGACTATGCGTTCGTAGTTGTTCATCGTCTCTACAATGCTATTTGAACAATATTTGGTGACAAAAGATGGCATTTCTATGTAGCGTCTAAAGCCGTCAAATAACAAAAACATTGCAGATAAAAAGATCCTCAGTACTGGGTCTAATCATTTAAAGAAAACTGAATTTGAACCCGGCCATATTCTGTCTACCTCTCTCTCTCTCTCTCTCTCGCTCTCGTTTGTCATTGCCTTCATTTCCCCTCGCTTACTTTATTCTTGCCTCAATCATTGAGAATATACTCACTAACAACGATATAGATCATAACGGGAGAAGCATTTTATATAACGATATGAAATCGTGAAAATGCATTCTTCATTGTGTAAATCATTAGCATACGTATCACCTAATTCGTCAAAGTGACGAATTAAAGTCTAGTTTTTATTTTGTATTCATTAAACATTTTTTTTCTAAAAACATCCCACGGCTGTGGCGCTGATGCGGGGGGGGGGGGGGGGGGGGACGCCACGTGACCCCGAATATTTGTAGAAAACATTTATTGAAAACATTGAAAACGTACATTTCTGAACCAAAAAAGATGAAGAAAAAAAGGCGTGCCCCAAATATGTACGTGAGCCATCATCCCAGTCCCCAGCCCCCCGCCCCTTAATCAGTCCGACCACGCTGCGCCATTCGGCCCACCCTCCACGCAGTATTCCCTTGGTACAAGTAGTGGTAGTAGGGTAGTAGGGTAGTGAGCACATGTTTTTTTTTTGGTCCTCGCATATTTTAAAATTTGCATCCTCCCCCCCCCCCTCTTGAGCGCCAGGGGGGGGGGGGGGGGGGCAACCCCCCAAAAAGGTAAAAATCACGTGTTTTTACATGTTTTTTCTTTTTCTCAAGAGGGCCCCCCGGGCCCCTCCCCTGGATCCGCCACTGCCTTTGACACAATGTAACCTACCCTGATATTACTTGTATCCTTCTGGATAAATATTAAATGTTCTGCCTTTCTGAGAGGAGTTGAGTTTCGATAGCGGTCCTACTCGCCCAAAGATTCAATTCAAACATTTTATTGGAATGAATCCTGAATTAATATTTAATAGGATATTCATAACGAAATTAAACCATGCTACATACAAAATATATATACACAAATAAACGAAATACAAATAGATTCTCCTTCTTCTTCTTCTTTCTCTCTCTCTCTCTCTCTCTCTCTCTCTCTCTTTATATTGCAATGACAGAAAAAATGGATAAGCACATTAAAAAAAGGGATGTGATTGAACGTACAGGATTTAAAACTAATATAAAGGCTTCTTACTCTTGAAATAGCCTTTCGTTAAAAACGTAACAAAAGTAAGTAAAGGTAAGTTATGCTAAATATAAAGGCAGTTATTGAAAATACATACACAAGAAAAGTAAAAAAGAAGACAAAAACAAAAAATCGAAATCATTTTGTTTAACATTTGGGGACATATTTGCCCCTTAACCCCTTTTGATACAAAATATATCGTAACACTCTCGAAGGAAGATTTATTCACATTGTTTGTTGAGAAGATATTTGTTATGGTCCTAAAACAAAATGCATATAGTACAGTAGTAGTACATTTGAAATAAATAAAGGCAAAGCCAATCCCTAAGATGAGATGAGGGTATAGATGAAAAAGCGATTAAAAAAAAAATTGCTGCCGCTAATGTACGTTACCTGTACTTTGAACGTAGCTGGCGCTAACAGTAATGATCTGATCTGTAAGATCAATTTGTAAGTTGGATATATTTTTGAACGCACAGCAAGTCCGCCTGAGCCCTGAAGTCGGGACTGACATTTCGACAGGTTAGATCATTGTTATAATACTTTTACATTATTCATGTTTCGTTCCTATTTTTTTGTATTCCTGTCGATGCTAGAAGATAGCATTTGGCCGATTTTCGCGTTGCAGGGTACCGTTTTACGTTTATTGCAGGACGGCCGTGCGGATCGCGCGGATCGCGGACCCCTACGGAGCAATGTTTGCAGCCGGGCGCAGCCGGGATCGGAGTAGGCGGGCGGAAGAGCCCGATTAATGATGGTGATGCATGCATGATGATGCGGCTCAGCTCAGCTTTGTGAAAGAATGAGCCTGGCCTGGCCTGGCAACAAAGTCAAAGTCACTTACCATTTCAAATGATATCATAAATAATGATATAGGGTCTAGTCTAGGCCTAACTCCGGGAAGCTCCGACGCCGATGCCGAAGGCGTCGGAGCTTCGGGCGGTGGTGCATCGATAAACGTTCTTACAAAGTAACAGCGGGTTGGGTGACATTAGTCTATCTCAAAATATGCAAAGGGAGTAGAGTCTAATTACAATTTTGACTTAGATCTACTAGGTTGCTCGACTCCTCTGGGCATCTATCCATCAACTTAAAATTTTAATTTGAAGGGGGTGATTCTTCGTCCTACCCCGACGATTCTTCCATGTTGTTTCGTCGATTCAACCGGCCTAAAGAAAGTACGCACTAAGTATGCATGCGCGTTAGTGCATACTTTCTTTTTTTGCTTGTGAAATTGTCACAAATAATAGTAACAATGATGTAATCAGAATAATGAACTTGTCAAAAATAATAGTAACAATGAAGTCAAACTTTGTGGCCAAATGTGGCCACCAAACTTTGCCCAAAATTTTAGCGGATTCATATATCTGATGCATTTATTCTAGAAAATTAGGCCTAGGCTAATATACACTGGTTCCACTTACCAGATTGACTGTATGTTGTGTTTAAGGGTCTTTTTACTGGATTTTCTTTGTCGAAATTGAGCTCTGTGTTGAAATTCTTGCAGCCGTATTTTTAACTGTTACTGCGCACGAAGGAAAAGGACCCTTAAGGCTTAAATAGGCCTTAAACGCATGCATGATACAATCAATCTCATAGGTGGAGCCGATGTATACATGTATTAGCCTAGGCCTAAGATTGTATTTTACTGCTATTTAGGTGTGATCAATTGTCACTTTAAGAAGTACCGATTTTGAGTGAACCCAGTTGAGTTTTGAGCAGTGGTGTTTGAAATGTTGAGAATCAATAGAGTTTGTCTACCGGTATACAGATTTTGATACACAGCCAGGATAGTAACGCAGCAATGTGTAGGTTGATGTAGGGTGCTGTGTCGAGTGCTACCAGGTTGTTGTGGAGCTTGTACAGCATCACCAGTCTGTAATTTTCTTTGCGTTGCTTGAGTGTGGTCCAGTCAAGTTATTGGAGCACGGAGGTCATGCTAGAGGTGTTGTGGTACCCATTTAGGGTGAATCTAGCGGCCCGTCTTTGTACCATTTTTATTTGATGGATGTGGTTTGCAGAGGTCCTAAGGAAGCCCTGTACCAATAATGGCATTTGTACAACCACAAATCAATGTTATATTACCTTCTAAATTATTTGGGGGCTACGAGGCGACGCCCCCCGCCCCACACGGTCACGGTCACGGTCACGGTCACGGACACAGATTCATGAGACCCAGCTCCAACTCTGACAGCTACAGGCAAAGTTTCTTCCCAAGAACACTCCGGGACTGGGATGAGCTCCCTACCAACTTCATTGAACTGCCCTCTGTGGAGAAGTTCAAGGGAGCCATCAGCGCCTAAATCATAGGAGGATCTGTTTTTACTCGCACAACTTGTATATACGCACTATGCACTAATCAATCATGACCACTATGAGAGACACCACACCACAATATCCTCGTTTAGTTGCTGAAAAGGCTTTTGACGAGTACCAGCATAGACATAGACATAGACCCTTATATGATATTCTTGCCGGGCTCCTACCCTTATATCCTTCAGTAGGTCCTAAGGAATCCCTGTACCAAAAATGGCATTTGTACAACAACAAACCAATGTTTTAACATTATTTGGGGGCTCCAAAAGGTTCCCCCCACACCCTTAAATTGAATTATTTGCCGGGGGCTCCTAGTCTAATATCGTTTAGTAGGTCCTAAGGAAGCCCCGTACCAAAAAATCTATGTTGTTGTAATAATTTCTTTATTTTAAAGAAGTATACATGTACATGTACAGTACATCTAGAAATATACACAGATTTGAATGAATACGCATTATAATAATCATAACCGGATCCTTGAGCCTATTCTTGTTCAAGGCAGGTTTGTGCAATAAATATTGTTGTATTACCCGTTAATTACATGTATATGTATAGACCTTTAGACAAATGGATCGTATTAAAAAAAATTTAATTACATGATACAAAGCAATGTACAAAAATAAGTGTGAAAGTAAAAATAACACACACACAAAAAAAAAACTTGCCAATTTGTACATACCGGTATACACATGAAAATAGTGATTATGAATTTAATTCAGTTTTGCCAATTCAGAGACTTGAATGATTATTTTCAATTGAATCACATTTATTCATGAACACTAAACAGCCCAATGTACTGCAATGGAAATAGACTCAAATTTACCAGTGATTTTTGCACTTTCTACTTGTATTCAATTTGGAAATCAAACTTTGCTTATGTGTTTAAAATGTACTGAATACTGTACATGTAATAATAATAATAATAATAATAGCTGGTTCTTACATGTATATAGCGCTTTTCAGGACCAAAGGCAATCCAACCCTTGTAATAAGTTACGGTAGATTTGTATGAAACTTTGAAAGCAGAAAAATAACAGAAACAGAATGGCAAAAGTTTGAAATGAATCGGACCAATAGTAAGGAAGTTATGAATGTTTGAAATATGAGATCACTGAGTCTATGTGAATCTCAAATTGGTAGTAAGTTTGGTCAGTGGATTGTGAAGTAGGATGTGGAATGGATAACTCCCATTTTTCATACATGTACAAAAGTATCACTAATTTCTGTTTTTCTCATATTAGTCCCTTCTCCCTTGGAGCACTACTCAAAATATATTATAGATAGCATATTATTATAGATCCTCTAGAAAGAATAGACGCTCCTGAGCCATGATTTAAAAACTTAAAATTTTAGTCATTTTATATGTTGGAACAGATGGGAAAGTACCGGTAGTCCGGCACTACATCACATTGACATTACCGCTTCAGCCAATTTGAAGTGCCCATACATATAGTGATTACAACTTTCCTATATTTAGTCAGATTTAATTGAAACTTTCATCAGTTTACTTCTCTAATTTTTCTGCTTTCTTTTTGAGTAGTTGTCTATTTGGGTTGGATTTGCCTTTAACATTTTGAAGCTGAACAGGTTGATTGGGAGGATGGAAGCTTCTTGTTTAGCTGAGCTGTGTTGACTTTTGGCAATTAGGCACGAATGACTCATCCTCTAAATGCATGTTTAACTATGCTGTTGTGTCTGAAGTTTATGATGAGTGGGTTACTCATTTACTTGGGTGTCATGTGTTGTATTTTTGTGTTATCTTTAACAAGTGTACTTAGTGGGGATGAATGAGCTCTATATATATCACGACAATGTAGGCACTAGACAGTGTTCCATAAAGTTCATCTTTTTTGTAGGGGGTCCAGACTCTAGACCACAAATTTTTAGGATTTGTATCCATGAACTCAATGATAATTCATTTATTTATTTAGTTATCTTTTTTTTTTGTAGGGGGGGGGGGGGGAGGCTTTCATGGGCCCTTATTACCACGCCCTGTTACATCATGTAACAGCAGGAGATGTGGATTTAGTGACTAAATGAATGTACAAGTGTTATTTTCTCATAAGTGTAATATATAAATTTTCCACTACCTAGATAAAAAAAAAACATTGACCATGGTTGTGCTGTCCTCTCATTAATCTGAAGATTAAATTCAGGGCAATGTACTGTAACATTGTAACATCGATCTGATGTCATTCTCGTGAGTGTGACTGTATTAATGAAAGGGAATAATACAGATTGGCTGCCATCGGCCCGAATTATACATGTAGTTCATTTCAGCAAGGAAAATAATGTATTTGACTGTTTTTGCCTTGAAAGCAGGCTGTAAATGAATACGGTATTACAAAAATTAAGACAAGATTGAAGATGTGCTTGTAGCAAATTTGCCCCCCCCCTCCACCCCCCCCTCCACTCCCCCCTCCACTCCCCCCTCCACTCCCCCCCCCCCTCCACTCCCCCCCCCCTCCACTCCCCCCCCCCCCCCCTCCACTCCCCCCACTCCAACTTATAATTGACCTGCAGGTCTATCTGTTGGACACTTGAAGAATGCGCATTTTCAATCAGCAAAGTAATAAGTTTACACACTTGTACACACACATGTACTGTTGAATCAGGCCCTGGTTGAATCATGACAGATCTCTGGTTCGGTTGTATTTATGGACCATGAACCCTGGGACTGGAATGCTTTATGGTCTTATGGTCACACAAATTCCCTTGTCATTTTTAAGTCAGTTATGAAGATATTTGATAAATAATCCCAATGTACTGTACATATTTACTTCATTATTTTGATGTGGTTTTGATTTAAAAAAAAAAAATCAATTCCCCCTTAAATCAGTCATACAAATCTGTAAGATTTTGGTACTTACTGTCTCTGTTTATTGATATAAAATACATATTCTTTTTTTCTTCTTATTGTTTCATATTGTATTGTAAAGTGGAACAAAGGTACAATGTAAGACTCTCTTGGCCATATTGGAAGAGGACAAAAAAATGCAGTTAAGTGCTTAGGAGATCAATAAAATGACACATTTGTAGTGGAGTATTACTTAAGAGTAGGCCTATTAATGTTTTACATAAAATATTTGAAAACCATTCAAGGATTATTTGAGGATTGGTTACTTGGTTATTAAATGTACACTCTAATTTTCAAAATTTTCAAATAGGTACAGTGGTACACTACATGTCAGCTGCCATGTGCCAAC